GAATGTTCAAACCATTAAAAAGAATAAAAAATAATAATAAAAGACGTAAGTGATACAGAGCTTCTCTAAACAAGATGGTAAGTATTCACCAATGGTTGTTATATTGCATACTATTGTCTTCAAATTAGTTGTTCAGATTACAAGCATGCAAAATTGGTCGAAAAATTTAAGTGGAATTTTTATACACAGAATATATATATATATATATATATATATATAATGCAGCATTTCATTGTGCACAGTTGATTGAAATTTCTTTTGCTGACTCATAAGTCAAGAAGCTTTCTTTACTCCCACAATGCATTATCAGAGTTACATTTGAAAAACTCTTTATTAAGTTACTCTCTCTCTCTAGTGCACACACACACACACACACACACACTCACTCACTCAGTCACTCACACAAAAACCAGGAGGATGATAGGTTATTTCCAGGCATTCCTCAGGGATTTGAGGAGACTCTACAAGAAAATTGAACTTCATGAAGTTCCTGGTGAGAAATTTGTCCTGTACCCTTTTGGCACCCTGCATAGTAAGATGAAGCCCTCCGTGGCCTGGGCTTCACCTTCATCTGTGCAGTTTGATAGTGAGTGTGCCCTGTTCTGAAAACTCCCTCAGGACAAAGGTGTTTAAGCCCTTCCCTGAGGTCTCAGCTTCCGTAATTTGAGTTTAAAAAGTTCTTCCTTTCTGGCCAACATTTAAATAATTTCAGGAGAACTTAATGTTTTCCCAGAATATTTGGTAGTTAGTCTGCCAGAGGGTGGAGCTGACGTATGTCTCACCAAACCGCAGGACAGGCCCTCACTCATGTTTTCCATCTGCACTCACTCCCTTGGTGCGCTCACGGTTGACTTGAACATCATTTGGAAGGGAGCCACTTTTCACAGACGAGCTTTGGCCCTTCGGAACCTCGGTCTTATCAGCAACAGTGACTCGTAGGGGCGGGAACAGCTGACTCCCCCGACTCAGTCACCGCACTGTTCCTTAGCACTAGTTCCCCTTTGGAGGCGGCCACAGCCCTCCCTCACCAGCCACTTCCGGTTCAGCTTCCTTGGCCCCACCCCACAGTCAGGCTTTGCTTCCCTGACGGGAACCTAACTGGCTCTACCCCTGCCACATGCAAGATGCTGTCCCTGCTGCTGCTGTCCCTGCTGTGGGCTGGTGAGTGAGTGAGGAAGGGAGGTCAGCAGGGCTGAGGGCCAGAGCTGCAGCTGAGTGTCTGTGTCCCCAAAGGGTCCCTGCAGCAAGATCAACAGCTCAAGCTCCAAGTACAGGAGAAGGTGACAGTGCAGGAGGGCCTGTGCGTCCTGGTGCCCTGCTCCTTCTCCTACGCCTGGGGTCGGTGGTCTTCCCCTGCACAGTTCTACATGTCCTGGCACCGGGTCAAGTACAGCCCATACTATGGTGAGCTTGTGGCCACAAACAACCCAAGACTTGTACTGAAGACAGAGATCAAAGGTCGATTCCACCTCCTTGGGGACATCTGGACTGAAAACTGCTCCCTAAGCATCAGAGGCGCACAAAAGGAGGACGCAGGAAACTATGTCTTCAGAATTGAGAGAAAGAACGGTGGAAAAAATGTCTATGGAGATAAACCAGTGCATTTGCAGGTGACAGGTAGGTAGGGTCCC